AGAAGCAAAAGCTCAACGATACAATATTTTCATATGATAAAACCAATCTGAAAGTTTCTTTTGCCAGTTATATTCTCTTGTATTTCACCATAAGGATAACGAGTTTAATGGACGTACCCAGAATCTGGAAATAAGAAACCAGGACTACTGAATCTCATTCCCAAAGAGGCATAACAGTAAAGATACCACCAACTGAGAAGTTTCTTGAGACAAGTAACTTAACTGTCCAGTAACTTAACTGCAAAATCCTGCCAAGTGAAAACGTGTAAGAATTCACTGTGACCCATAAAGCAAATATCTTTTCAAGTAGAGACAGAAATAACACTGCTTTCACTAGCCTGCATGTAACATCAGTGCCTTAGCAGATGCCACAACTTTCAGAATTGGCTACTTAAGCAAAGCTGATGGAGATAGCACTTCATGAACAGTATTAAGACGACTTAGGGGAGAGGCCAAGGTGGCAGGGTGGTACCTGAGAGGGAGTAGGGAAGACAGCAGGAGACAGTCGGCTCTCCAGCCCCACTGCTACTGAGCAACGGCAGCCGGACGGCTGGGGCCAGGGAAACAGAAAGCACAGCAGCAATTCAAGTCCTCTGCAATATGGAGAATATTCTCTTTCCCTCCCAGGAGCCAAACTACAGATTCGCAGGGTTCCTGCATGTGCAGAGCCCAAGTCTTACACTGTTAGAAAGGTTTCAGGAAAGCACTAACAGGGACGAGTAGCACCTTCTCCTAGAACGAGGTGGACGGGGAGGGGAAGGATAGAACAACAGGGGCTTCTCTGCAAGGAATCACCCCGTGCTTCATTCATGATCCCTTGCAACCTCTGGCTAGTTGTGAAGAAAAAAAAAGAAAAACAAACATATAGAGAAGAAAAGTGACTGGGCAAGCAACTGGTAAGGATCTCCACTGTACATCTATGATTCAGCATAACCAACATCCCTGAATTCTACAAATAATTTGCACTATTTAAAGATTATGTTCTGCTATGGTCAATAAAGCCAGATTGCTGTTCTGACCTGAGACAGCAGGATAGTTATGCAAAATCCCTGTCCTGTTCCACTGATTCTAAAGACCTGGCTACCCACCACAACCTCAAAGATAACTACAGCCACACCGCTTACTATTTTGAAAATGATTTAAAAAAAAATAATAATTCTGCTAGCAGTATGTGCAAGTCACCTGGAGTACAGGCAAGCCTAAAGATTGTCACATGCAGCAAATTCAGTTTACCAGTATAATACCATCCAATCCCACACAGCATTGGCTTTGTAAACTAACACCAGCAAGCATGGCTCTGCACCACAGTTTCCTGCTTTCTACATCTTCATTTGCTATCAGCAAAATCTAACCGTCTCAGCTGCTGTCGCACTTAAAAATACAGTTTTGAACTGCAGAGGATGGTTAGACTAGGAATTTATCAAAACAAAAAACAAACAAACAGCCTCACATCTGTCTCGTAATGGCATTTCTTAAAAGAATTACAAGAGAAAAAGTAATACACTGCACATCACCCTTATTAACTTGAAATCCAAATTCCATACGCTATAACCAAAAAATACAGTAAAAATTTTCTAGCCAGAAAAATCACACAGAAAACCAACTTTATACCATATAAATGAACAATGCAACCGCGCCTGTCACCTCCTCTTTTTCAACTCTGTTTTTGAACAGTACGGCAGAAAACCAGGAGCAATACATAATTCTCTTCTCATTCACACTTTTATTTCTCTACCTGAAAACAACTAAAAAGGAAAGGAAACAGGAAAAAGAAAAAAAAGACCAAATATAAATTACATACATTTCTGTTAAATTCAGCATCACTTTTCTAATAATAGCAGATGTGCCCAGAGGCAGATAGAAGTAAATTAGGTCTTAAATGTCTCACATTTTGACAAACTTCTACCACAGTGTGTTCCAGCTGACCATAGCTGCAGCCTAACAGACAATGGAAACTGAAAGAGAAAAGAAATTCCAAATACCTTTTCTGTTAAACCTTCCATACTGATTTGCGGAGCATAGAAAAATATGGATCTGTATGTTCTCTGTCTGTCTGTCTGTGTGTGTGTGTGTGTGTGTCAGGATATATAATAACTAAAATTCAGAGCAGTTGTTTTGCAGATTCAAGAACAGGAAGTACCTCTGATCACTTCATAGTGAAAGTCCCCTGAAGAATAAATTACTGTATATGCAGCACATACGTACCATTGCTACCTCCCTTTTCCTCTTGCGTTCTCATATCTGTCTCTAGACTACCTCTCTTCATTAGAATATTCTCGTAATGTAAATTTATTCTATGAAATTTAAAACTACTCTTGTTACAGGCAACTCCAAAAGTCTTTTCTCCATCACAGTCTAAAAAATATTATTCAAGAGAGTACTAGGCTTTCTTAAGTAACACTTCATATCAATGTCTTTGAATAAACATTGAAACGTATTACATTTTCCTTTACTCTTTAATTTGTACATCTTTTCTGCCAAACTCTTTTCTCTTCAAACTGCACTTCTAGAATCTATGCTAACTGAGACCACTCAGACCTCCTGACTGTGTCAATTCAATGGTTTCAATTCAGTCCAAACATTCAATTTTTGCAAAACTCAACCTCATGATGGCATCCCAAAGAAAAGGTTATTCAACAGAAAAATCAAAGCACAAGAAGAAAAAGACATTTTTCCATCATAAGAAATTATTCTCTCCACTTGCAGGCAGAATGTAAAGTACCTAAGGAATTTCAGTAGTGATTTTGACCTCTAAGCAACTTTCTCAAAGATTTCAGAGCAACCAGATCTTCACAATTACAGATTCGGCAGCTACTTTTACAACCAAGCCATGATAACCTTTCTGATAAGCAGCAGGAAATTGGAGCTGTGGTTAAACTTTGTATCTATAGCATCCCTTTTAGCCCGCCTCTCAATTACCCTGACACAAAAAAATAGCTAAGGTTCCCTGTAATGGGACATGAATTAATTGCTGGTGAACTCTGCTCTCCATGCACGTGTTAAAAACTGTTTATGATTGAAAGAGAGTTTGTAATTATTTGTGATCCTAATGGACAGAAAGATTACGCTTAACAAGCTTTCTAACGGGACTACTATTATGTTTGACTACAGCTTTCCACGTATAAGACGACGACTGAAGGAAGATGAAAGTTTTTCACTCAAGATACTCACCAACTGACTGTACTTTTTAGGAAGTCAGCATCTTTGCTACAGACTGTGTGCTATCTAATTTAGAGAGGGAGTACTCAGCTATAAGAAACCTATTTGACTTCATGTTCAAGCTGACTCAGAGAATGAGGAAGAATCTAATATAGTTTTTAATTCTTTAGAAAAGAGCCCTGGATGCTGATTTAAGACCAAAAAAAAAACAAAAAAAACCCACTTGGCAATATTTTACGTGGACACAGAATTTGTAACATTTCTTGTTGTTTTAGAGCTTTCTATGGAGAAAAAGCAATTTATTTTCTAATCATTTCACTAGATGCCACAGTTTGAAGATATTCTGAAAAGAAGAGGCATCAAGAATTATGTATTAAAGGGCAGAACTCGTAACCCTGCATTCTTAGGTTATAATATTTTCATAACGGAAATTGTCTGGCCACATTTATTCATGAAACTAAATCCAAAAGTCTTGTAAAATTAGCAGCAGTATTTCAAGTATCAACCAGGAGAAGGCTTAGAGAAAGCTTGCTTTTGTCCCACACAACTTTATCAGAGTTCAAATTTACTATCAAAGTTCAAAAATACTATCAATACACAATCTTTCCCAAAACAGTTTCCCCTCCTCACCCTAAAGTGTGCATTTTCAGAGATGTAGTAAGAAATAGGGTGCATGTTTTCCTTCTCCACTCCCTTCCATCTCCTTGAGGCTGCCACTTCCTCCTAATCATCCCCTCCTTACAGACAGAGCTCTCCTTCTCAGCAATGACAAGAGCAGGCATTAGGATGCAAGTATGTTTGTCTTTATAGGAACACTTGAGGCTCCCATGTCCCCCCCTGCTATGGCTCTGCAAGTCTGCTACCTAACTGCTTCCCCAGGTTCTTTTGACATATGCACCATTTCTGAAGCAAAACGGAGTAACTTTGCTATGTGTGCATGCATAAACACAGCAGGCTCACAAAGTTAGAACAAGAAGGGGAAAAAAAAAAACAAATAAACAAACAAAAAACAACCACCACACATACCACTCAAAAGAGGAAAGTCCCAAAGACCCTCTGAAGCTGTAGTAACAGATTTACATAAATCCCATTTAGGTAATCTACTGCAGTTCTTGGTCTCTTTTTCATAGCTAGAGAGCTAAGTTTGTGTAGACTGATGGAATGGAATCTACTTGCACAGACCTCCGCATCAAGGACACACAGAGGTCACTAACAGCTAGTCTGATATATGTAGACATTCACATATACAGATCCCCACTAAAAAAAATTTATTTCTAAAACTTTAAACAGCTATCCCAAAAATAGCATTTCCATAAGTTATTTGACACATTACATGAAACACAAAGTAACAATATAAATATCGAAGCTTATTTTACAGGCAATTGTTTGGAAAACTCCACCTTAATTACCCTCAACTAGTTTAGCCATGAATAAATTTCAACATAAGGCTTCTATAAAACCTAAAAAAGCACTCTGGAGATAAAGAAAAAACAGTTATAGAGAAGAGAAAATATTGTGAATGCCATGGAATAGACTGCAGACTAGCTGTTTTATTTATTTCGAAATATAAGCGGTTCTCAGTCCACACTAGTGGAACATAATCACTAAATAGCAGAGAAACGTAGGGTTAGCTACCTTTATTTTCAGGATATCAAAACTACATTGTCTCTCATTGTAGTATCTGTTCTTTGTAATACAGCCTCAATGGAATGTTGTATGGCAATATACCACGTTTTTAGATACAAAAAAAAGTTAGGATGTAAAGGCTAATAATTCATCTGAGCACGACAGCTTACAAAACATAAACACACAACACAAGAACGGTTCCACTTTGTACTCACTCTTACAAAGTTGTCAGGGAACAAACCTCTTCTGCCTTTGAGCTGTCCTTCCCACCAGCCTCCATCGTCTTTCTTGATATTGGTGATTATGTCACCTACAGTGATCGTCAGCTCATCATCGTGTTGAGCTTTGTAGTCAAACTCCACTATCGCCTCCACTAAAAGAGAAAAACACATATTGCATAATTATTGACTGTACACTTAAGTTTCAATGCCTTTGAAAGGAACAAGAAAACACCAATCCAGCTACAGAGTCTCTGTGAAAGTAATATGTTCAGTTCAACCACAAGAGTACAGCAAATAGGCCACGTTTAACAGCAACGTTTTGTGGATAACTACTACAGCAAGGCCAAGGAGAAAACCTCAGGAAGGCCCGTTATAGCTAAGACAGCAAACGGTCTGCATTTTTCTTTGAGGATTAAAGGAAATGGATTTGTGCTACTTTAGCAGTATCTACCAGCTGGCAGCGTTACAAAGTTGATTTTTATTTCTTGGACATTCTTGTTTGCAGGACTTTTGAGGCATTTTATTTTTGGAAGCGTTCTCAAGTCCATAAATATACAAGTCACAGCCACTGTACCTACTTTGTTCAATATGCTACTATTAACCTAAAAGTATTTATCAAGATTTTTTTTGTATCGTGCCACATTTCACTGTTATTTATACAGTAAAGCAGACCTCTGTTGCGTGAACATACTCTCACAGAATTTCACCAGTGAGGGGAAAAATTCATTTTCACTTGTGATTATGCATCAGAGGATGTGAGGATAAAATACTGCTACTGCTCTAATTGTCAGCTATCAAACACTAGCGTGTTATAAGCTTGCTACCATCTATATGTGGTGAGACTTTTTCTTTTCCTGGAAGAACCCTTGACAACAGACATGCAACAAGGTTCCTGTAGATTCTCTCATATACACTATACAATCACTGTAGGGATTTAGGGAAGTCATAGAGATAGAAAAAATTCTTTGGAGAACCAGGAATACTGAATATGGGGGTTTTCAGTTACGGCAGTTATAGTTTTATTTACAGTTCATCACATATCTACTAAAAGGAGCCTGACTGGCAACATCAAGGACAGCTGTATTTGTAAAGCCTTTTCTCCTTTCTCTTCAATGGAAAACTATGCCCCAGGACGTTCCGCCAAACGTTTAGCACTTCAAACGTTGAAACAGAAAAATGAGAACTAGTAACAAGCATCTGCTTTCTGTGCAAACGAGCAGCTATGAAAACCCTACAAGAGCTGGCCATCCAACAGGCAGTACAGCTCACACAGCAAACCTAGCCACAGAGAGTAAAAGGCTCTGCCTAAATAACAGAAGCTCTGAGGACTAGACTGAATTAAGCTGACAGGAAAGCAGTTATTCCTTTCCACCCCCAAAATGTCACACAGACACAAAGCTCCCTCCCTCCCCCAGAGCCTGCAAGTAATACCTAAAAGAGCATTCTGACTTATGGATACGTTCCAGGCACTAGGCTACTGCCAAAGGCCTGCATATCTCAAACTACCAAGTACCTCCCCAAAACCTTTCACAGAAAGATGTGCAACAGGCACACCTCACCCAGATCACTACAGGCTACCAGCTCCACCACAGATGCAACTTACTCCAACTGTGAAAAGCCACTGCTGCTTTTTCTCACCATAAGGCCACAACAGAGTTCAGAGCCATCCCAGCAGAGCTAAAAACATCAAAATGACAAACATATCACTGTTCTTCACTTGAGACTAAAAGCCACCTCACTCTGTTTGACCGGAATTGGTCTTTTGCTTTCCAGTTTTCCCTCGTCTAACAAAATCATCTACAACCGCTCACTTCGCTGGAAAAAAGGTCCAGGTATAAAACCCCTGGGAACAAAGACAGACATGAAAGCGCACACCTATTGCTTCTTATGTGAAGCCCCAAAGCATAATGAAATTACACAATAATCATCACAATAATCTGATGACCACAAGGGGACTGCTAACTACACAATGAACAGCAGCAAAGGAAGAGTGGCACCACATAGTACAAGGTGACACGCAAACAAAACTTCAAAAATTAACCACAACAACTTAACTTAAAATCACAGTCATCATAGAGGCTGTGAAGAACCTCAAGAGGTCTCCAGTCCAACTTACCCCTGTTCAAAGCTGGGACACCTAGAGCAGGTTGCTCAGGACATTGTCCAGTCAGGTTCTGAATATCTCCAAAACCAGAGACTCCACCGACTCTCTCACATCGAGGTGAGGCTGATTGGCGTGTAGTTCCCCAGATCCTCATTCTTGCCCTTCTTGAAGGCAGAAGTCTGGGAAGAAGACCTGGGATTCCCGAAGGCCAGTCCTATCAGCAAAGACTAAGGTGAAGAAGGCACTGCCCCCTCATTTGTTCCCCATGCTGCGTGCATTAGTGGAGGCTCTTCAGATAGGCACCCAGCTGTGCTCATTTCCCATAAAGAACATGAGAGCTAGCTTTATGTGGATACACTGAGGGTGGGCCTCCTTCAGCCTTGTACTGTTGATTAGAAGGTCCCTACTGTTTATATCACCCTACACCCTTTGCTTGCCAACCTGATCAATCACTTCTTCACACGACTGTTGGTGGTCCTCTCCCTCCTGTCATTCCTACTTTAAAATACTGCTCACCAGGCTGGCCAGGCTTTTGGCAAAGATGGCTTTGCCCCACTTAGTCAGGAGGATCCCATCTATTCCAAGCAGTCATCAATCCTTAACGAGGGTTCCATGGTCAAAGAAAGCAAAATCCTGTTGCTGCATAACCAACTGCTGACTTGCAGAAACCATCCATTCCTCCTCACACCCTTCCCCCTCACTGGAGGAATCGAGAAGAAAACTACCTGGGCTTCCATGCCCTTGACCACCTGACCTGTGGTCATGCTTGATTCTTTCCACGTCACCCGTGGGGGTATCACTAGCATCTATATGGAAAAGCAACAGAGGGTAACAGTCCAAGAGACAGAAAAGCCTTGGCAGTCTTTTCCACAAAGTCCCAAAGCCAAGCCCCCAGCAAGCTGCAAACACATCAGGTCAGCAGATGGGAGCCTCCATGCCCTGCTGCAGCTAGTCACCCACTACTATCACTCACCACTTCTTCCTGATGATGCTGCAAGGCTCAGGCTTAGCCAGCTTGGGTGGACAGAGCTCCCAGCCCCTCATCAGCTGAAAGGGCACTGAATCTGTTCCACAACTGCAAATCTCGAGGTGGAGCACAAGCCTTCCTTCTGGTGCCAGAAGTCACAAGCTTCTAGCCTTCACCGTTCTGGCATTCTCCACTTCCCGTCCTGACAGGCATGGACACGGCCTGCCCTCATCCAGGACTCCTGGGGATTTGGGCTTTTGAAGCTGCAGGGTCTCAGAAAAGAGCCGTGAGCCTGACCATCCAATCAGATTTTTACCCGCTAGTTGCCCTCTTCACCACCACTGCTGACCTGTCCCACACTGTCTTCAGCAGTTTCTGGTTCCCCTTATGCAAACTGCAACGCAAACTACAAAATCAGTTGAACTTGAACTAGCCACTCTAGTTAGAGCAAATACAAAAGAATAAGGGGTTATTCTTCTGACATATGGACAGAAGTCCCTAAAAATACCATTCACATTATTCACGTATGGATACCTTGTCCTACAGTGACCAGTAAAATTGGTTGGGAAACGGTATCTGCATAATAGCCCCCTAAAGACTACTGGATTTAGGCAGTGGCACCAAGGTACACACACTACTGTAAGTCTCAAACCAATGAAACTTTGGGTCTCCACAGAACCCAACAGCACTCAGGCTCAAAAATGTCAAAATCCAGACTGTTCAGCAGAGTATTCCCTGTTTTGTTGAGCTCTGACAAGGTCTTCGGAGAGCAAGGCCCTGTATCCTTCACTTTTAAGAAGCCTTCTGGGATAAACTTGCCCTCAGGGCTCAGAGCTTATATACACTCCCTTTTGGGAGCAACAAGCCCCTCTCCTCCCTACTTAGGATGCTTTGAAATCCTGTTCTCATTTTGCTCTCCTCATCTTGCAAACACAATTACATACCGTTTTGCTCTCCGAGTCCCTAAGCAACCAGGAGGCAGTTAAGCGAGTTAGCTGTCAGGAGGAGACAGGAAAGGAGCAGGGATTTGGGCTGGCTTGAACTAATGATTCTTCAAATACTCTTTCTCGACATCCAGACTGCAGCAACACATACCAAAACACAAATGACTCCTCAAGTTCCATGTTTTAAAAGAGATCCAGCACCTGTACCTATTGCTGTGCTTGCAGTTTTCCTGAAGATGACTGCAAAATTCACATTATTCGCAACAGTTTCATTCTCTTATTTTCGTGAAGGGAGAATAAAAGGTAGGATAGGGCTGCTGATTTGACTCTACAGCTGTTTTGGTAGATGTGAGGCACTGGAGTCATCTTCCTTGAAGCTTAAGGTGTCCATCTTGCACTACTACATATACAGACAGCTGCATCTGTGCAACCTTTTTTTGTTTTTCTCGAAGTTTAATTAACCAATGAAAACCTCCTTTACTGTTGTTCAGGCTCTTCCCTTCTACAAATATTTCCACTTATTAAAAAAACAAATATTTTTAAAAGCTGTCTCCTCTCAAAGAAATTAATTACTGTATCATAAGTGTGCGTAAGCTGATGGAGACACACAGATCACCAAAAATGAAGCACACAATCAAGATGTCTATAAACTTTCAAAAGGAAACCAAGAGTATAGTTGGGAAGGAGGAATAAGAGCACACCACAGCAAATGTGTAGATTATGACAAACTAATGAGAATGTGCTTCTGAGATCACTCAAGTTCTCATTTATCACATTACTGATGCTTGCAGAGCATATAACAGCTGAGAAGTGCTTCATAATCTACAGGTCCACGGAGCTGCAGCTTTTATATCAAGCTCATTTTTAAAAGGGTGCTCAAGGATTTTCATGCCACTTTCTCAAACTATGTTTTGAAAAATTCATTCTGCCAGGTAGACTTAATCTCGTTTGTTTCTTTAGAGGCGAAATTTTGTCTTCATGGAAGCTGGATCAAGACTGGACTGATGCAGGTATTCTAAGGGAAAAGCAGATCTGAGGTTTGCTACACATCTGCAAGTCTATCACACCTCATTCCTGAAGTGTTAGCTCTCTCCTTGGGAACCGGACTATCAAAGTGTCCCAGGCTGCACAA